CTGGGAGTCCCCGAGCCTGCGGGCGGGTTTCGGGGGTGGCCGCCTTCCTGTTCCTGGTCGCGGGCATCTCGCCGCCTGGTCCTGTGACACCCGCCTCTGCGCTGTCGCTTTCCCCGCGCTGAGCGTGACCCTTTGCCAACTCGTTTCCGGCTCCTGGTCGTCATGCTTTTATCGGCTTCGTCTGTGTTTTGACAGGCCCGTGTGGTTTACAGGGTGGTTTCCCGTTCCTTAACTCACGTAGTCTTCACAGCAATCTCTCGGGAGTAGGTATTGGCCTTCCTGTTTTATAGCTGAATAGACTGGAGCCCAGAGAGGTTAAGTAACTTGCCAACGTCACACAGCTACTGAGCGCAGAGCCAGGGCACTGTGTTAACCCAAGCCTTGATTCCTGGTCCTTTTTTTTTTTTTAAACGAGACTTGTAGCACTGTCAACGTTGGAGTTTATATATTCTTATTTCTTCAGCATCAGAGTAGTAGTCGGCCTGGTGAGCCACATTTTGGCCAGTGGTTGGCTGGACAGAACCTGAAGCCTTAGTGAGGTTTGACTTGGGACTTGGCACACCTTCCCTCTGCCTGGACCACTTGGCATTTTTTCTTACGGGAAGAATGTTGAGTCAGAATGACAGCAGCTGGTTCTTTCTTTGCACCTGGCTGGTGGCAAGGCCCTGGCTGGGCCAGCCTGGCTTTCGTTTTCTCAGCAGCCCCCCAGCATGGACTCCTGGTGTTATCCCAGCCCTGCAAAGACCTTTATGGCCCTTATTGACTTCCGCTGCAGATTACAGTTTTGAGGTCTTGTAGACTCTGTGGAGACGATGAATGAAAAATGACAGTTGGCCTGGTGTGAGGTGTGGGACCAGGCAGGCTTATTCAGGGCCTGGCAGTGGGCACTCAGGTTGTGGTCCTGGCACAGTTGCCAGTCACCACACCAGGAACCTTTTGGTTCCTTCGCAATGGCTGGAATTGCAGGTGTTTTGGGTCTTGGAATTTGGAAAGAGAAATACTCTTTCTGGCATAAAATTTCCCTCTAATTCCCCCAAATCTGGAGGTGGAGCGGGAAAACCACAGAGCACTGCCAGCGCTGACAAAGGTGGCCAGCAACCGAGAAGGGCAATGGGCTTTACTGACCATTGGTTTGGAACATCCGAGCAGAAGTGGCAGGCATGTCTGAACTGGAGCTGCTGGTGGGGCCAAGAGGTCCTAAGTGGGGGTCCCCATTAACACTTGCTCTGACGAGAAAGGGGGTGCTGGGGGTTGCTCACTGTGGTTTCCTCCTCAGTATTTGTACAAGTGCTTGCTCTGGAAGGTACCTTTGGAGGTCCCCGGGCTCTGTTCCCTGGGTGCCGACAGAAGTTACTCTTGTGTGACTACACGGGAAGGGATGCTTCTCCCCTCACATGACTGAAGCTCGCCTGCTGCCTGGGGGAGGGTGTGAGGAGGCCTTTGGAGATTTTCTCGCCAGCTATGATGGGAGTGTGTACACGTCTCTCGGGACTAGACCCCCCAGCTGTGGGGACACGGGGAGTTGAGCCTCATTCCTCAGCTGGTATTTCTGGCAAGCCCAGTGTGCCAGAGCCAGCGGGCCTCACTGCCCCTCACAGGCAGACCTAGGTCTCAGTCACGCAGGAAGAAGCTGGGGCTGTTTGTACTTTTGACCTTGTGTGTGTGAACTGTCCCTAGCAGGTTACTTGTTGTGACGTTTTCCCTGTTAGCTTCATGGGTGTGAGCACTTATCTCCCTCAGTAGGCTATGTTTCTCCAGGGCAGGAACCACACTGCATACACAGTAGGGGCAGAGCGGGTGTTAGAGCAGGTGTCCCAGAATGACGCTGTTAAGTCCAGTCACAGCTGCAGCCAGAGGGTGACAGGTCCTCTTACATGCAGTGGCGCTGTAGCCATTGTGCTCACGGAAAAGGCGTCATCCTCCTAGACAGATGGCGGCACCATCATGTCCGTTAGTCTGTGTTTCTCTAGCAGGAGTTGTGGCCAGGACGCAGGTGTGGGGCAGATAGAGCCCCTGCTGTGTCGCTGATCCGTCAGGTGTTGGGGGTGCAGACCCTTAGCGGGTCTGTGGGCGGACTGTGGCGGATTTTCTTAACCTTAAGGTACTAGGAAGAAGAAAAGTGGGAGCTTTAGGAGGTCAGTAATTCCACAAAACCTCCTCTTAGTTTACTTTTTCCAGATAGAAGTTGCCCTCACCATTTAGAAAACATCTTCCTAGAATCCAGGCTTTGTATGGGAAGCGAGGCCCTCTGGGGTCTGAATCTGGCCTCGGCACCACCAGGAGACTGTCATCTGGGGGCACCTGTACAATCTCTGCTGATTGCCAGGTGCACGGGAAGCATGTGTGGCCCACGGGAGAGGAGCCTGCCTGTGGAACGAGCCTTTCCTGGTTTCTGGGCACACCACTGTCAGCTCAGCCCCCTACCCCTGGTTCTTGCTTTGCCCCTCTGCCTTCTGGTCTCTCCTGTGACCCCTTTCCTTTGACCACGGAGACCAGACTTGGTCGGAAGCACACTCTGACAAGAAGAGGCGTTTCTCCCCTGTGCTGTTGTTGAGAAGGGTCTCCTCTCAGGGTCACCTGGAAAGTGAGGTGAGCAGCACTGATGGGAAAGGAACCCTGATTTGGAGACCAAAGTCGGAGGCCCTGGTGTGGGAGGGTGTTTGTGTCTCACTATAGTCTACATCTGTGAGGGCATTTGTCCAGGTTCTCTGCGTTGTCCTTGCAGTGGTCTTGCGGCACAGACAGGACAAGTGTCCCCACTTGGAGATCAGGAGCCTAGGAGCAGGTGCACACGGCAGCTGGGAGCCAGACCTCTGCTCACCGTGGGCCTGTGCGGCTCCTGGGCAGTCAGGTGACTCTTCCATGCCCCGTGGACACTCTGGGGTGAGGTCGGGGGGCCTCCCAGCGGTAGTCAGGTGCACGAAGCCTGTCTGACTGGCCTTGGCTGAGGGGGGTGTGCTAGGGGATGTGGGGAGAGGGCTCTGCTGCTCACCTGGGACCTTCTGATGACCCCGTCCGTTGAGGTCCTGCTTTGCCTCAGCTCGTGATAGGCCGTTTCACTGGCGCCTGGCAAGGGGGTACCCAGGGAGAGTTGAGGTGTGGCAGGTGCCTGATTGAGCAAGAATGTCGCCAGTCTGAGGCTAAATTAGCTTCGTTGTAAGTTGAGATCTGGCTCTGAATGTGGCTCTGTCGATAGGAGCCGTCTGCATGTGTCCGTGTCCAGTTCTGTGTGCACTATGCCTCCCTGTCCTGGGGTGGATGCATGTCACCAGGCATGCCGTGTGTACAGAGTGACTGTCGCCTGGGACGGTGCAGAATGATTTGACTCTGGTTTCTTTCAGAGCTGAACTCCAATGTCCAGCAATGGATGACGACAGCCTGGACGAACTTGTTGGCCGAGGCCGAGGGCTAGATGGACACCGGAGACTCAGTCCTGCTGGCCCGGCCAGTGATGCGGGTGAGTCCCTCGGCCTCTTGCGCCCAGAGCTGGGGAGAGCAGGGCCGCCTTCGTCGGCTCCAGGCCGGCTCTCAGAGAAGCCCGGTTCCTTTTGGGGGTTGTCTCCACATGTTGGCTTCATCCTTCAGCCTGTAAAAGGTTGCTCATCCTTTTCTTTTAAAGTGCGGAAGTGGTGCTTTTCTTTGTCTTTCCATTGAGTGCAATCGATACAAATGTAAATTGAGCCAAAGGCTGCTGCTTTTCCCTGTGACCACGTGTGTTTGCTGGGAACCCTGTTGGTAGGTGCCCTCTGAACTGCCCCGGCCGTGTTTGTCTCTGCAGATCTAGAAGGAAGCAGTGAGGACCGCAGTGGAGGCTCCGAGGATGAGGCCGACACAGGCAGTGAGCACAGTGACGAAGACGAGGAGGGGGCCCTGGAGGACGGGTCTGGTGAGCGCGCTGCCCTGGGTCTCCTCACCGTGGCGGGGTTGCTGCTCAGCTGGCGTCCTTGGGAAGTGGTTGTCTGAAAGCACACTGGCCAGCTGAGGCTGTGAAGGGCTGGGTCTTGCCTGCCGGTCCCTGCAGCAGGCCTCCTCTTCAGCTGGAAGGTGGCTCGCTGGGTGGTAGTCCTCACTCGCGTTCAGCTGATGACACAGTGGGAGGCCTCCTTTCTGGTGGTGGCCGGAGGGTAAATGCCTAAGAGCGTGGAGCAGCAAGAAGGGGCGTCCAGGGAGAGCACAGCCAGACTGGCCTGGCAGGACAGGTCCGGGTTAGCATGGGCTGAGGTTTGCGAGGCCCGAGGACCACCTGCCTGGGACTCGAGCTTGTGTTGCCGTGTGCTGAGTTTCTGACTTCAGGCGTTATCTGTTCAGGCCTGATGGTGAAAGGTGAGAGCTTAGGGCCTGACCTGCAGCCCCACCCCAGCTCCCCAGGCGGCACGAGCTAGGACCTGCGGCCTGCTTGGCGTGCAGCCCTCCGTGCTCAGCCTTGTCCTCTGGGTGCCGGGCCCCAGCTCGCGCCCGTCTCTTTCCAGCCTGGGCACCCTGGTCTGGTCGGGACCTGTCTCCAGCAGCCTCGAGACAAGTGAGGGGTGGGTGGCTCTGGGTCTTGTGCACCTGCCTGTGTCTTTATCCGCCTCACCTTTGTGGTCACTGCTCCTTGGAGACGTCAGAGACGTCCTCTGTGGGCCAGGACCCTGCAGATGGCCAGCTTCCTGCCTTCCCTTCAGTTCCTGAGCCTTCCGGAACTCCAGAGGAAGAACCAGGCCACCTGGCCGCAACCTGCTGTTGGAACCAACAGGAAGGAACCAACCTTCCTGTGGCCCTTAGCCAGGCAGGAAGTTGAACAGGGTCAGCTCTCGTCACTTTGCCATGCTCCACAACTCTGTGACATGAGTTTTGTTCGCGTCCTTGCTGGGAAGTGGGCTGTCACAGACACAGTGGCCGAGGGCAGCACGCATGTTCTCAGTTTTGTGGGTCAGCCCTGTAGGTACCTGGTCGTCCGCTGGGGTCTCGCCTCATGGACATCGAGGGTCATGGGGCCACAGTCCCATCAGAGGCCCAGACTTCTCCCCCAGGGTCTCTGCTTGTTGGCTGAGTTCAGATCCTCATGAGTGTGGGGCTGAATCCTGTTTTCAGGCTGGCTGTTGGGTGGAAGGCCCTCCTCACTCAGAGCCTGGAGGCCGCCCCCTCTGGGGACAGTTCACATCAGCTGTTTTCTCTCTTGTACGCCAGCAGGGGCTCATCTGTCTGGCTTCTTTCTCTGCAGCCAGCCAGAGAAAAAAACTGCCTTTAAAGAGCTCAGCTGATAATGTTGAGCTGACTGGGATAATTTTCCTCTGCTGTGTAGCTTCAGGGTCATAAATAAGGTCCTTGCCCACTCTCAAACGGATCAGGTGGGACTGAGTCTTGGGGGCATGTGAGAGCCCTGCCTGCCACACTGGAGTCTGCTCTCTGCATCCGTGTGAGCGCATATCTTTACTTTAGTAGGGTTGTGGTGGGGAGAAAACTAATGGAGAAAAAAATGTCTCCTTACTTTCCTGCTGGTCAAGCCCCAGCCTCAAAGCCTTTCAGAAATTGGTGAGACCTGTTGTGGCCAGATTGCCTAGTCAGCGGTCTTTGCTGTCTGCATCCCAGCAGGAAGGGAAACGAGAAACCTAAGCTGGGGGGTTCAGCTCTCTGACACTGTGCCCGCAGAAGGGTGCTGTGAGTGCGTGCTGGGAGAGGCTTCCGCAGCTCAGCCTCCTATCTGGGGGCGGCTGGCGTCGCCCCCCCAGGCTCTGCTTCTGCTTGGGGAGGGGAGGGGTTGCTGGTGTGGCTGCTCAGCCTGGGTTGCGTCCTCTTAGCTGGAAGCAGTTCAGGTGAGATGCCCGCTGAGCTCTGTCCCTCAGGGTGGACTTGGAACCCCACATTCCTGGGTGCGGCTGCAGCTTCCAGCGCTCCATCCACCAGTCGTAATCTCCTCTCTCAAGGCTCGGAAGACTCCGAAGAAGACGGTGATGACGTGGACACGTTCATGACCGTCACGGACACTCAGGGGAAGCTGGAAGCCGACTGTGCGTTTAATTCTGATGATGATTCCGAGAGCTGCCCGATTTGCCTCAACACTTTCAGGGACCAGGCTGTGGGGACACCTGAGAACTGCACCCATTACTTCTGCCTCGACTGCATCGTGGAGTGGTCCAAGGTGAGCAGGTGGCTTCTCTCCAGGGTCTCCCTCCCTCTGGGATGGCCTCTGTGGCCCAGCCTGTGGGCACCTCTTGCTGGACTGCCCAGCAGCAGAAGTTGGAGCCAGGGGGTGGGGTCCCGGCTCGGTCTTTGCTCCGTTTCACGCTCTGGCTCTCAGGCTTGTTGGTGAAGCTGGCTGAGGGGCCGTGTGCTCGTGGAGCAGGGTGAGGAGGTGCTCCCTTGGGGACCTGGCTGCAGAAGTCCTGAGCGACCTAGGGTCAGCCTGCCCTGGCAGAGTCGGCCCTGGTGCTCATGTGCCAAGGTGTCATCTGTTGACACGGGGACCTGAGTCCTGCAACCAATAAAACGTGAGGGGGACTCCCCAGCCAGCCGCCAGCACAGCTGTGTCCACCAGCCGCTGGCCTCTCTCTCCAGGCATTTCTCTGCCCCCTTGCTTCTCGGTCCTGGTCTGTGGTGGTGGAGCCACAGCCTTGGTTAGTTCAGGCTTAGACGTCTTGGGTTTTTGTTTTTGGTTTTGTTTGTTTGTTTGTTTGTTTGGCAAGTAAAGTGTTCCTTTAAATTGAGCAATAGGACAGGGTGTTTGCTGTTAATCTTCTAGTCAATATCGTATTGGAATAATCGGAGAAGATAAAGGCTTAAACATTTGATTGGAAAAGGTGTTATTTGCACGTAATGATTTTAGCAGCGTAGGTGTTTTCTGAATGAACTGTTGGAATGGTAAGTTTAGCGAGATTGCTGGATGCGAGTTTAACAAACATTAAAAATTACAGTGCGCTTAGAAATAAGACGTAAAAAGATACACAAGACGTTTAAAGAGCTTTTCTTAAATGCCTGAGACCGAATGAAGAAACACCACTTTCTGGAGGGAGTCTTATTCCGGAGATAGCAGTGGCCAGGCAAGTCCAGCAAAACCCTCACTGGGATGTTCGGGGCACTTGGTGGCTTGTGAGGGTCACACCAAGCTAATTGGGAACAAGGGAACAAGGGAGAGGCCCCTTACTGGATGGTCAAAGTTTCGTACGATAGTGAATGCGCTGGAGTCGGTCTCAGAATGGGAGCTAGACCCTAGGCATGTGGCGGAGAGCCTGATGGGGATGGGCGTGCACAGCGGATGGCGGGGACAGGCTGCTCTCTGAGTGTGTGAGCCAGGTCAGGGGGCCCAGCCCACGCCCCACACAGTCCCTGTGGACTCAAGGTGGGACGTCAGCTGCACTCTTGAGACCTTCAGAAGGAAAGGCAGGTGGCCCTGTCGGAGGATGGGCAGCAGCTGTCACGGTGCATGCACCAAGAAAAGACTTGAGTGGAGAGCGCCCGACCCTGCCTCCTTGGCACCACCACGAGTGGCCCTTCCTGGCTGCTGGGAGGCTCAGAAGAAAGGCGAGTGCCTGTGCGTGGGGGTGGGAGCCCCGACTTCTCCAAGGGTGGGGATGTGCTATGTCCAGCCCTGAGGCTGTTGTGCTGTTCCCCTGTGAGCTGGCGGAGTGAGCCTGGAGGACAGGCCCGCGTGCACACAGCATTCCTTGTGCCTCCCAGACCAGAATGCGTGCACAGGTTCCCCGGGACCTGCCTGGCTGCCAGGAGCAGGTGCAGCCCAGCCCTGCCTAGGCCTTCAGTAAATACTGATTTGTAGTATGAAAGGAATTTTTGACTTTTAAGTGAATTCTTTGTTTTGAGACAATATTAATAATGGAAGTGATTCTGTAAGATTCTGATACGATTTTTATTTCTTACAGAATGCCAACTCCTGTCCAGTTGATCGAACTACATTTAGAAGTATTTGTATTCGAGCTCAGTTTGGCGGTAAAATTTTGAAGAAGGTGAGTGTAGGTGCTGCAGTGGCACCCCGCACCCCCCACCCCTACCCCCGAGTACCACCCTGGCCCTGTCTCGTGAGAAAACATGCTTGCAGACAGCGATTGGCTTTCCTGAAGCTAGTGAGCACTGGCTTTTTAGAAACCCACTGAGATGCCATTTGCAGCTTCCTCTCCACTCCTGCTCGCCTTACTGCGCTCAGAGCTGCTTCCCTCTTGAGCCGCAGCAGGAGGTGTTGTCAGGGTGGGGCTGGGCCTGGGAGAGGAGACCAGCTCCCCAGGGCCAGATTTCTGAGGGTTCGCGGCAGAAATAGGAAGGCCGGGGAGGAGAAGGAAGGGGCCTGGTTCTTAATGAGAGAAGAGGCCTGCATACATCTGCTCTCGGTGAGGAGTGTGCTGGACACTCTCAGATGCACCTCACATCTCGCTGCGTCTTGTAGCCATAGTGGCTTTGGGCCCTGGCTCCTGGTGTGCAGACCTCTCCTGAGACTGGTGTCCTCCTAGCCATGCTCCAGGTCTATGCTGGTGACAGCAGCTTTGGTCTTGCTGACTTGGGCCTCCGGCTGCCTGTCCCAGCTGCCTCTGCTCTCCTGCCCGGAGGCCTCTGTGGTGTGCGGCCGCGTCCAATAGGCAGGCCGTGTCTACTCAGGCACCCGCTGGTGAAGCGTGTGACCCTGAACGCTTCTCCTCCACCAAGAGGCCACTCACACACAAGCTCCTCCAGCTGGAGAGCTGCGTGGTTCCGAGTCCAGCAGAGTCCAGGAGGCCAAGGAGGTCCCGAGTGTCCGCCTGGCGATAGGACAGAGGCAGAGAGTGTCACCTGCCATGAGCTTAGCGGAGGAAGTGTGGAGTGGAGGCCGTGGGCCTCAAGTGGGCTTGGGGGTGGCCCAGGCTCGGGGGGGCACATGGTGGCAAGCGTAATGGAGCTGGTTCAGGTCCCCAACACCCCTGCGAGGTGGGCTCTTTGCTTGGCGTGACAGTCACAGCTGTAGCACCTTCAGCGTCGTTCTTAAGGAGCTGCATGTTTGTGTCTCGGCCAGGTTATGTGACAGTTGCTGTCTTAACGCTGCTCCCTGTCCCCCGCCCGCCTGGTCTGTCTGGCGCTGCCAGTGCTCGGTGTCAACGCTGGGACCCTTCTATGGGTTGTGCTTTGTTTTCTGTTGGATCCCTTTTTTTCTCAGGGCTGAGCTCCTGCGACAGTTAGAAAACGCAGTGATCACTATGTGTGTGTCGGTCCACACCTCTGGGCCCAGAGCCCATGCAGCTCTTGACCTGCTCTGGGTCAGCTGTAAGTGGTGATCTGAGCGACTCTGGGACTTGGGTCCCATGGCCCTGTGGTCAGCAGTGTGGTTCTGGTTCAGATTCCAGTGGAGAATGCCGGAGCTGGGGAGAACGAGGAGGAAGACCCGACCTTCTGTGAGGTGTGCGGACGGAGTGACCGGGAGGACCGCCTGCTCCTGTGTGACGGCTGTGACGCCGGGTAAGCCTGCGGCCCATGTCCCGTCAGCTCGCGAGTTCCTGAGCCAGCCTCCGAGGCCCCATCCTTAAAGCAGCCTGCTCCAGGGTGTCCCGGGGCTGCACCACTGTGCTCAGTGACACGAAGTCCCCCAGAGGGGACAGCGGGGCCCTGGCACCCAGTGGTGTGCCCGTCGGTCCTCCGCACAGTGGCCCCCGTATGCTGCTTTGATTACTGCCACCTGTTCCCTCCCCATCCCCAGATGATACCCTGAGATCACCTACAAAGATGCAAATAATACCTCAAGTAAGAAAGAAAAGGGGGCACATGAGAAGGGGCTGTGTGGGCGGGACCATGGGGGAACCACCCTTTCTTCGAGACCAGGGCACCAGGTGAACCTTCCAGCCAGTGACACCCATGCTTCCTGGGCCCTGGCGGCTGAGAAACTTTCACTCTCATCTCTTGACACTGGTCGCGGTCCCTGCTTCTAGTCAGACCCTCTCCTTGCCCTGGAGGTGGGGCACCTGTGGAGTGCTTGCATGTCCCAGTGTGGATGGTCAGCCCCACCAGGGCCCCGCAACCTCCCCGCTCCCCTCCACCTCTCTCAACCTCCCCACACCTCCCGGCACCTCCCCACAACCCTGTACTACCTTGCACCCGCACGTTCAGTCTCTGGCTCACATTCGTCTTCCTGTGGCAGCAGGCCAACCTCCCCAGGGTCTTGGCAGCATCTCCCACCTTCCTCCCCAGCTCCACCCCTGGGCTCACACCCCTGGTCTTCCTCCTTCCTCCGGAGTCTCAGATGGTACCCACCCTTTGTGACAATTTCCTGAATGCTTGACCTCAGTGATCTTGCCTCTCGCGACTCCCAGAAGGTGGCCGTGTCTGAGTGGTGGTCCACAGCACGTTGTCACCCTAGGTCTGGACGGCAGAAATGGTGCCTTGGGTGTCCCGCAGGCTGTGCAGGCGCTGCACTGCTCTGGCACCTCACTCCGCACCCGGGTGGGGACACAGGGCTCCTGCATGGCTGCACCCCAAGCTCTGCTCCCACACGAATGCACCTTTTTTCCTGGAGCTGCGACAGCTCGGGGCCTGTGAAGGAAGGGCTGAGAATAGCTGGACGCTGCCCGAGAGGCCACACATGGTGAGAAAGTGAGACCAGGCCCTGGCTGCCGCACCCTTCACCTGGCTGGCCCCCGCCACCGGCCTGCCTGCTCTGCCTGGCTTACCCATGCTGGACAATGAGCCCAGTGCCTGGTGGCCACGTGGACGAGGCTGATGGAACTTCCGCTCACAAAGCGCTGCTCTCCCCAAGCTTCTGAATGGAGCCCACGGTGGTTCTTTTTATTTTTTAAGTAGGTTTTATTTTTTTAGAGCAATTTTAGGTTCATAGCAAAATTGAGTGGAACAGAACGTGG